TGTGGATAGAACGTGAAATTTTCCGTAATAGGCACGAACGAATGAAGGTAGATTTATCCATTTTGTCTCGGGCGGTCATTTTAGTTGGCCCATGCGTCTGAAGTTGAATCATTGACGAGCTCGTCATTTACTGGTTGTTGAATGATATTGAATGACGCTCTTGAGCTTAAAAACGAAAGCGTCGGCAAACAATTAAAAACACGTCCTTGTAAATCCTCATCTCACAGTAGAAGATTGCTAGGTTTGCTGTGACCTTGGCAGTTTAACACGCAGAATAACGTATTGGTGATTTGAACGCATAGGACATTATGAAAGTCTATCTGGATTCGAAATCATAGTTATAATGGTGCCACGATCCATATTAACTGACCTACTAGATTAACATCCTCCATTAAAACACATCCCGTTTACTTGCGGCTCAACCCCTGTGTCGAGTAGTGTGGAAAATCATTCACCCAGTTCCAGTGGAAGAAACGAATAAATGTGCCTAGAATTAAGTTATTTGAGGTATCCCCTAAGCATGAAAAATTAGAATGGCAACAATCTACACACATAGATTAAATAAGGGGTTTCTTGCAAGATTCCGCGGTTACCAAGTACGGGAGACACCGAAAAAGGCCGAAGAGAACAACAACCGAACGTTATGAATATAATCACTAAGATTATTGTAACAGAGCAATTAGAAATCCAAATCATATCGATAAAATGACTTCTGAAAAAAATCCGACATAATATATACAAAATGGAAATATCTATCATATTATGATTGGACTTGTTTCTGAGTAAATGCTGCGGACATTATACACTACCATTATCTCATCTAAGGAAGAAGCTGTTCGATTTTGATTGTGAAAACAGACGAAAGCGAATATATTTCAAACTCTCAGTTTGGTTTTAAAGAAAGAAAGAAAGAAAGAAAGAAAGAAAGAAAGAAATGAAAAGAAAAGAAAAGAAAGCAAGCTATAACACTGTGTTTAACGCCTGCTTGTCAGCTTTGATTTTTTCATTTTTATCCACTTATTTAAATAATGGCCTGCACTTATATTGATGGTTTTTATTATAATAGTTTATTAAAGTTGTTAAACTCAATTAATCAACTTTGATAGCGAGTATAGACAAGAGAAAATATACCGTAGATACACAAGTATCCTGCAAACTTTGAAGACGTAATTTTGAAGCCAATTTGACTACATTTAATGGATATATAATTTGGTCAACTGCATAGCCAGAGACAGTGTTACATACGCTAATTTTACATATCGTGTATGATGTGACCCCCTTATAATTAGCTTCAAAATTAAGTGTTCAACATTCGCATGATACGCGAGTATATACGGTATATAAAAAAACCCTCCGTTTGTTTTAAAGAAAGAAAGAAAAAACAAACAAACAACGGGAAGATAGAGACAGTGATATCAATTTAATGAGTATAACGTCTTCTTCAGTTAAATTGTACCCACTTATATAAATAATGAGCTGAATCCATATTTATGGTTGCTTTTGCAATATTCTGTGAAAGCTGTTAAGCTTATCTATTATCGAGGCAATATGGAAATTTTTCAAGGTATTCTATTATTCTGATCTTTGCAGAGAACTCATTCAGTAATTAACTTGAGATTTATCAAAAAATCAAATATGGAAACCGTGCTCTTTTCACATATCTTTCTAGTTATAAATATTTGCGAACATCTATTAGGCTATGAAATGAATGAATTTATAAAAGAGAATGATAAAAAAGGAAATCAACGAAATGCATTTGTAACGAGAAATGCAAATTTTACTTCATGAGTGCCTCGCTATGGGGAAATCGTCAGTCATCTTGTCCTAGGGATCATCATTAATATGTAGCGAGTTCGGCCCTCGTTATTTGTTCAATATTTTAGACTTTGTGCTGACTTAGAAAACAGGTATCAAGAACGAGTACTTTACCGTTAATGTGCAGTTAGGATAAAGGTAAATGATATTGGTGAACTCTGAATTTCAACCGAGAAATGTGTGGAAACATCTCTTTCCATGCCATGCCAAAGAAGACCGAATTGTCTAACCCCGGTTTTTCTTGGAGAAAAAAATATCTCACAACTCTAAATTACATTAGTAAAGAGTAGACGGAAGGTTTTCAGCCTTTGTTGGCAATCTGTCCACAAAGGGTGAATAACTAAAAATATCCACCCCCATATGTCTGGGATACTACTTTGGATGTGATGTCATGTAAGAATTATACAATGACTGTAATTCTTACGTCATGTGTGTGTCGCAATCTTTAAACTTTATTGTATACTATATTTTATACTATATTTTATACTATATTTTGAACATCAAATTAACTACTGTATTTATTTTTATTAATAATAATTTTGAGAAACTATGGAGATGTAGCATAGCGCTTATCAGTGAAGAAACTGGAGTACAAAAGATTTCAAATTGGAATCTCACCTACTGCATTCAGTTTCGCAGTATTCTCCTTAGAAAAACTCATGATTCCACACGATCGTATACGAGTAATAGAATAATAGCAGGGTAAACTGGGCTGTCTAGCCTTGGGTAGTACCTATTCTAAAGGAAATAAGTTTCTGAAATCCAAACCGTGGAAAAACTATTTCACTGTCATTGCCAAGATGTCATGTTATTGCACATAAATAAATAAAATAGAGGTTTGAAGAGAGATATGCTTACTTACATAAAGGAAATTTCTTTTTCTTTTTTTTTAGTAGAAAACGAATTTTAGGCGCTATATTTATCATGGAAATATAAGTATGTCCTAAAATGTATACCAAGATCAGCGGTTTAAGGCTAATATCTACCGAAGTCGCGAATCTGTACCTGGATTTAAGCGGGTATATTCCTGGTCAACCTGCTGATGCACATGGCTTCTCTGATGTGTTGCTGTAAAACTAAATGCAAAATCTTCTTTAGTATCAATTGAGATAAGACTACTACATATGGGACTTCTTACAAGGAAGATTCTATATTGGCATTAAATTAAATTCAAGCATCCAGTAAGGAAGTGACTTGAAGCAACAGATATGTTGTTCTACAGGGGGATGCTGATAATTCCAGGAAGAGAATATAAGTTTTAGAGAAAACGGAAAACCTAGCCAGATTGTAGTACAAGGGTTAGGAGAGATTACAGTGAAAAGTTCTTAAGAGCTACAAAGGACAGGATATTGTGGAGAGCCACGTTGACAACGTCCTGAAGGGACACGGCACAAAGAACAAGAATAATTATTAGCGTGTAACTCTAGCAGGTATTTACGATTATGTGGTGAATCGGTCACTAACAGATGTCGTTTTTTACCTCGTAGATAAATGTCCTTAGCAAGTAGAAGAATTTAGAAAGGATATTTGGTTTGTTGTTATTTTGTTTTCAATAAATTCATTTCGTTTTTGCCTTGAAAAATTCCACATTGGACGAAACGCGTCGTCTAATACTACAGTTTTCCAATTGTCTTTTACCTTTATACATATTGGCTTTTTCTACAGGTTAACACTGAGAATATTTTCACACACACACAGACACACACACACACACACATATATATATATATATATATATATATATATATATATATATGTGTGTGTGTATGTGTGTGGGTTTATGTGTTATATTATAAGTCAACTCGATGTATTTTTCATATGCCTAGAAATTTTTCACAATACTAGTTTAAATAAAGTGTTCAGTTTGGAATTCCCTGTTGGGTAACTGTCTCAATACACATCTGATGAAGATCTTAGAGCAAAACAACCGAAACGTTGTGATGGCAACAAGAAAGATTTGGACAATAGTCAGAATGTAAATAGTGTAAATAATTATGTACATAGAAACTGTGCCAATTTTTGTATTCTTAATCCACGTGATATGTGTCAGATATGGTCACCGAGAAAATATTTTTACAGTGTCAGTACCAATCACCTTTTCGCGTATTTCTGTTACAATGACGATCTTAATAATGTAAATCGCAGGTTAATTTTGAAAGCAACAATTTTCAGAAAAGAAATGAGCATTTTATGAATGACGACAAGATTGTATTTTTTTTTTTAAATTCGCGGAATGGCTTTCAAGATGATGACTTCTTTAAAATAGGAAATAAATATTTCAATGAAAAAATAACCTTATCCGTATCTGTGATGAAAATTAGACAAGAATAAAGGTGTTTGTGATAATAAAATTTAAATGCGGGTTAAATAATAATAATAATAATAATAATAATAAAAAGAGGTTTGGATGCAGCTGGGTTCCCTTCCCAAATCGAACCCGCAGGCCTCGACCGCGGTGATGGAAAGCGGCCGGATGGCATTACCATTTTCCCTTTTAAAATGGGGAAGTCGTTGATTTGGGATGCAACCTGTGCGGATAAATTTTCGGCTGGTAATTTGATCAGCTCCGCGGTTGAGCCGCAGTCCGTCGCCCGGGACGCAGAGATGAAAAAAATAGTTAAATATTCTTCTCTTGCTGATAGATTTTTCTTTTCTTTTTTTTACTCCTGTGGCATTGGAGACTTCAGGGGTTATTGGCTCTCGTTCGATGGCGTTCCTTCGGAGGATTGGCGCGATTGCGTCTCGATTAAGAGACGAGCCTCGTGAAATGGAGTGGCTCTTGCAGCGTGTCTCACTAGCCATGGTTTGAGGTAATGCTTTCTCCATCATCGCGGCTGACAGAGGTTAGAAAAAAAAAAAGTTACATTGGTCTGGAATTGTCATGAAGATTTGTTTTGTTTCAATAAATTTTGTTTTTATTCGAAAAAATTAGTAATAATGAAGATTTACCGAAAGATAAAGATCTGATAGGCTTTGAGTTAAAAATTAAAAGGAGCCATTTTAAAAGGAGAAGAAAGGGAAAAAAAGAGAGAGAGACAATAACATAAAATATATTTAAATAAACCAAATTAATATAAATAAATAAGATAAAATAACAACGAAAAGGAAGAAAAATACATAACGTAAGGAATTAAGGAAAAGTCGAATAATACAAGAAAAACATAATTCGAGGTTGTAAAAATAATTTAAAAAAATAAAATAATTAAATAGAAATTATCAAGAGAGAAAGGAAGCAGACGTAAACGAAGGCTGAAAAAAAACGAAAGAAAAAAGAAATTAAAAAAGGAAAAAGAAAAAGAGAAATAAGATGGAAAAAGGAAAGAACAATGAAAGAAAAAGTAAATAAAAGAAACCGAATAAAAGGGGAGAGAATATAAGAGAAAGTGAATAATAGTAGAGATGATATAAAAAGATAAACAAAAAGAAAGAAAGTAGATTCTGTTTGCAAAAGGTGTTAAGACGTGATGTTTTTATTGGTGACAGTTCAAGTGACTTGAACCTGGGGACGATCGAGTTACATGTAAATCCACACCTTAATGCTATTTTATTCGAAACAGGTCATAATGCTTGCTATCTAATGGATGACTGACATTGGTTTGCTCAGGGATTTCTCGAAAATACATGAGAAAAAAATCACTGTTATTACGGTGAATCTGCTTCTTGGTCGTTTTTGCAATATTTCACCTTAAGAAATTTGTCAGATAAATGTAACGCTTCTTGAAATAATTAAATTAAATATTTTAAAAATTCATAAATGTATAAAATGTGCATGTATAGAACCGTAGATGAGGAGTTTCTAAAACGAAACAAAAGGTTAAATAACCGGATAATTTTACAAGAAAAAAATGTGATAACGAAATCCAAAGCTGCATTGGGATAGCTAAAGAAGACTTTCAAAAGCTAAGTAATACGAAGAAGACTTCCAAAAGCTAAGTAATACGAAACAGGAAAATGTCGTTAGAAACCAAGAAAAACGTTCTCAACAGATATATGATATGAATACTCCTATATGGCAGTGAAAGCTGGACAATCTCATTTCAGATGAAGAGACTTGAGGCAACAGAATCACGGTTCTATAGAAGAATGCTGAGAATACCATGGCGCCAAATCCTTTCGGAAATATCTAAACACTGAGCTGTATACAACCGCCTTCTAAGATTAATGGTTAAAACAGATATTTGAGCGAGTGAAGCCCGAGGGAATTGACCAAAAAAAATACATCTTTGAACATTGCAGACTGGAGCTTCAAAACCACAAAGAACTGTACCAAATAATAAAAACCATATCACTTGCGGACTATCAAGATCCGGCGCAAGGATCTCGCACCGCCTCCAAGTCTGTGATACACCCGAATCTATGATACCACCCCTATAATTACCTGCTATGCTACTATATCAATTTTCATCGGGTAGTTCATATAAAATACACATTTTATTGTACCCTAACTGTATACAATAATTAATCATCTTACTTATTATAAAACACAGAGTGTGAGTGTGTGTGTGTGTGTGTGTGTGTGTGTGTGTGTGTGTGTGTGTGTTTATATATTAAAAAAATGTTTAGCATTGTTTAGCCATCTCTTGAGAAAGGTATGAATCCAAATATTCTCCCTCCCACCACCAGCAGCTCTATGTTAATTAGCAAAATTTGTATCACTAAATCAATATTATCTCCAAGAAAAAAATTCAAATCTAAAAAATAAATTTCCGGCAAAAATTTGATCAGCCTAAGAAAACGAATCAAGCAATCAATCCACGATAACAGAAAGACGTCGTAGCAGCAAGAATAATGCAGAAAGACAAAAAAAAATTGATACTATTTTTGTCTGTTCCTTCTATTTATTCTCCTTAAAAACATTCAGGTTGAATCATAAATAATTTCCGTTTTTGTTAATCAGATTTATTCTTCAATTACGACGAACTCATCAACGTCACGTGATTAGTGCGGCTAAAAAAAAAAAGAAAAGAAAGACAGATGGTAAATCGTTGTCATGAAAAGAAGAGCATAGATTTATTTTTCGACTAAACATTTCTGACCACGTTGCAGCTGCTGGAAGTCTGTATGTGCATTTAGTGTTTCAGTGCGTTCTAAGAACTTTAAATAACTAGTACTCCGGCGATCCAACTGCACGCATAAAATTACGTTGCTTACATGAAGAACGGGTTGCGGGGTCAGTTGTGGAAATATTTCTTTGTCATTCAGCTGTCTTTTGCGTTAGACATTGTCTGATGTTAGTCCAATCCAAATTAATTCTTAACTTCCCTGTTAGATTCATAGTTAGGATAAAACGTAAATTACTTATGACTCAGCGTAATAGTAATGATCAAAAATATTTCGCCTTGTTTTGTTTATGCTGGCCCATGTTAAACAAATCGGTAAGCCAACACCGCGCACATTATAAAAAAGGAAAAAAGAATTGATAATGAGATTGTTGAAATCAACAGATAGTCAGATTAATCAGAATTAAAGATGAGATGATAAAGAACAGGCATCGTTTATCAATCCAACATGTTTCACTTTTATTAAAACTTCAGATAAAGCTTTCACAAAAGGGAAACATGTTATATTGATATTTATTTCCTATACAGTGTAACCCGGATATAAGAGAGTTGTCGGGACCGGAGAAGAAGTCTCTTATATCCGGGTTTCTCTTATATCCGGGATTGGTCTATTTTGTTTAGGTAAGTATGGGAACACTTTCGAACCAGAGAAAATCTCTCTTATATCCGGTTTTCTCTTATATCCGGGTCTCTTATATCCGGGTTACACTGTATTTAAATATTATGTTCAAACTTGAAAAACACCGTCATCGCTCGTTTTGACCCCAGTGTCCACTTTTCTGTCTCCTTCTCTCTGTCTCTGTCTCTGTCTGCCTCTCTCTGTTTTCCACAGACACCACCCACTGTCTCTGTCAGCAATGGGGGGGAAGAACGGCAAGATTCTTGCAGGGTCTTAGAAGCTTTTAGATGTAATGAATGACGAAGCGATGATAGGTAAAATATGTGAAACCTCTCTCTACGCACTCTCTCTCACACACACACACACACACACACACACACACACATATATATATATATATATATATATATATATATATATATATATATATATATTATATATATATATATATATATGCTTGTATGTATATATGTATTCAGTAATATGAGTTACATTCAGATTAAACAGGTTTCCAAAACGGAAACCACCCAGAATGTGCTAAACGATCCTAAAGTAGGAAAAAGAAAGAAAGGAAAAAAGGAAAGATAATAAATAAAGGGGAAAGAAAGACATGTCAAAACAATGGGGAAGAACTGACAAGAAAGAATTCTTGGTCAGGTCTTGTCGTAGAAGAATTCCAAAATAACGAAAGGTTTTAGATGTAAAATGAATTTTACGAAGAGATGATAGGTAAAATATACGAATTGAAACCAAATTATTTCAGAATGTCCGGCTATAAAAAAAAAAGAGGTAAAAAGAAGAGCAATACATATGCCAGGAAGGCAAAAGATCCTTTCTAAAAGTCCTCTAATTAGTTAAAGTCCAGGTGAGAGAGGGCCCCTATGTTTAAATTTTTTGTTTTTTTAAACACACGATGTAACACACACACACACACAACAATTGGTCGAATACAATCATATATAAGAAGGAAAGAAAACATATATATATATATATATATATATATATATATATATATGTATGTAAATAGATATGTATGTATGTAAAGTGTATGTATCAAACCCCTGAAAATTTAATATAAGCAACCCCAGCATGTCTGTCCATATTCGCAAATTAAGAAAATTTTCCAGCCCAAGAAAAAGAAATCTATAATTTTTCATGAAAACAAGGAACATGAACTAAAAATTCTTGACGCAATCTACATTAAAAAAATTGCGACCAACCCTTAATAAAATTAATTAGGAATACCTCACAAATGTTTTAAGATGTTTACAATAGATAGTGTAAAATATCTGTTTTAACTAATAGATTTTTTTTTTATCAAATTTTGTTTGGATATTTTATAACCCCTGTAGTTGTACCTCCCTGTCTAAGATAACGATTGGGTCGACAGAAAATGTAAATGGTACTGAATATGGCCATAGTGTTTTGCATTCACTGGCAAACAATTTAACTTTCAGATGAACACAACAAAGTTGTCTTAGAAAAATAATGAACACAGATATTTTTGTCTTAGAAAAAACAGCACCCTGATGATGACATTGTTGTAATGTCGAAAGTACAAATGTTTTAAGATGTTTAATAGTACTTTTCTCTTAACCTTTTTTTTTTTAAACATTTTGGATATTTTTAGGATACTAAGAAGCTTGTTCGTGTATATATGAGATTCACAGGCAAACAATTTAACTTTCAGATGAACTATTGAAAATAAGAACACAGATATTTTGTCTTAGAAAAAACAGATGAGAACTTGTCTAAATTATTCAAAAGATGCATGTCCTAACACACACACACATATATATATGTCCTATATATATATATATATATATATATATATATATATATATATATATATATATATATATATTATAACGATTTATTCTCAAAAATAACAGCTTCAGCCATTGTTCTTCTAAAGAATAATCATATTTTATCAAATACATTTATTTTAAGAAATAAACCGCTTATTTCGTATATATATATATATATATATATATATATATATATATATATATATATATATATATATATATATATATATGAAATGTTGAAAGCCGCAAGAAGGTCTCCGTCTTCAGGAATTTGAAATGCCTGATCATTTGGTGATGACTGCAAACGATCCAGAAATCTTTGGTTGATAGGTACAAGTAATGGTACCTTAGGTGGCTTTAAGTTTAACATTTGGCTGAAAAGCAGAGTAAGCCCTACACATATTAAGCATAATAATGTAGAAAACCCAGCAAGAAAAAAGGAATTCGTTTAAAGATGATTTGACTATTAAAAGTAATTGGTGTTCTGATATTATTTTGGATAGATCGTTTTTACTTGAGAGTTTCGTAGAATTCGATGAATAACTAATGAAATGATGATGTAATGGTCGGTTAATGGCAGCAGCAGAAGTTATTAAACGCGTTTAAAACCCCACCTGTCATATGTGCCCCGTCCACTAGCGATTGTAATAACTCTCCCATTAGTACAGTGTAGAGCCCTACCTCAGCACCTCCTCTTCGGTAGCAACACCTTCTTTTCCCACTCGCACCAGACAACCCCTTTTTGCAGCAGCACCATTCATTTCAGCGATAGAAATGAGCTCAAGAAAGGCCCCGGATGCAGCTTTGTCACTGGCCTAGCATTGGGTCGGCTTCACCGGATATTGCCGCGCTATTTTTGAATGGAATAACCTCGCCCGTGAACCCAACTGCGAGACGAAGCACGCCGAAAAGTTATGACGTCCCTCTTTCAATTCACTCCCTTTTCTACACTCTCCTTCCCAATGTATCATTGTTATTTTTTTTCGTTTCTTTTTTCTCCCTTCTTTTATTTTTCTTTTCAGTTTTCTTCATATTTGTGAATATTTCCTTTTACCCATTTTCTTTTCTTTTCTTATATTTTAAATAATTTTCTTTCTTTCTTTTTGTCTTTGTCGTAACACTATTTTTTTGCATAAAATATTTTTCGGCTATTTTAGATCTTAATAATATCCCACAATTCTTCATTCCTTCTTGTCATTACATTCTCTGTTATTTTTTAGGGGTTAATTTTATTCCATTCTATTTTTATATACAGTTTTCCTAATTATTCTTTATTCGTAATTTTTTCAATTTTATGATCATTCAGTTTTTAGAAATCTTCATTTCGTATCATTGTATATTGGTGTGTGATTTCTTCAAAATCAATTTGAAAACATGATTAAGAGGCATCGCTGTCGCGAGAATGAAAGGGGGACAACTCATATCGAGTTATGCTTATTATAAAACCCAGGTTGTGTGTGTGTGTGTGTGTGTGTGTGTGTGTGTGTGTGTGTTCGTTTATATTTCCTACAGTTTTCAACTGATTTCAACAAAACTTCCCTTTTTTTTGGCAGGTAGTGTTTCTTATTGTCGTGCACACTTTTTTCTTTATTTTTACATTCAGAATGCTTTAATAATTTCATTTACAAGCTAATTGTTTATACCAAAATTCTATTCAATCATAACGATTGAAAACAATGTTTTTGTTTGAATTTGGGTTTGACCAATTCGTAAAAAAAATAAATAAATAAAAAAAACTAATTAAGACATGAGTGTCTGTCAACTTTAAACAATAATCTTTGTCAATTTTATTTTTCAGTCTTTATGATGATCGATACTTGATCTATCCCTTACTGTTACATCCCTGGGCAACACCAGGCTCTACTCCTAGTTTGAAATAAAATGAAACATGCTCAAAACATCGATTCTTAACATTCCTTGGCCTTTATATCCTTCGACACAAATACTTCTTTTTCCGTGTCCCCTCGGGACGTAGGTGATCATGACTCTCCACTATTTTCTGTCCTTTGTAGCTCTGATTAAATTTTTTGTCATGATTCCTAAGCCCTGTACGGTTATCCACATCTGACACTATTGTGACAACGGTAGTATGAAATTAGGATTAAAATGTTTCATGTGAACATCCCGTACCCCTGTATAGGAATTGGAGAAAGGTGAAAACATGTGTTGAAATATGGAGAACAGAAACAAAGATATTTTTTTTTCTTTCTGATAAACAGAAATGCAGAATGGAATGTCGGGTTCAAAATATGATTTCAGAAATGCAGAATGTGGTTTGCTTTTCAGCATGGAGGGAAATGTAATTGTTATAAATCACAAAGCCGATAATGTAAACAATCTGTAGAGTCATTTTGTAAACATGCAAAATGGGCAGTACTGACCATCGTGGGAACAACCTAGAATTGAGTCTGGCCGGCTGGGTTATAATTGGTGACTCTGTGTGTCATAATTAATGCCTGGGATAAGGGCGCAACCCAGCAGAAGCCAAAAGAGACTCAGAATATCAACCCAAAGGCAGACAAGAGCGAAGATTGAAGAAGAAGGCCATTTCGTTGAAGGAATAAATACAAAGGACTTTAGTCATTTTGACTATAAGGTTCTAAAACTCTCCGAATAATTTGGAGCGACAGTAGGACAAATCAAATGAGAGGTGAGACACTTTTTGGTTTCCCGTGTTTTTGTCGTGATACTTCTTGCACCTCACCAATAGAAAAAAAATTGCAACTGGATTTTGTCGGATTGTTTCTCTTTTCCTGCGTGACAGATAGATAGACAGAGAAAATGAGAGTATATGGATCGGATAATGAGGCCGATAGATGGAAATGAAGCTAACAAGCCTCAGGTATAAGATACATTTTAAAATCTGTTGAGAAGACCCAGGGTACCAGTGTATAACAGGGAAGATACAGCTCATTTATGAGCAGTCAGAGGTAAAGACGGCAGTTTGGCATATGATGCAACTGGGAGTCTTGTTTTTGAGTTCATAGGGGAGCATCTAGAAAGAGAATATGGATTAACGGGCTGATTTAGATAATCCGCTGCTGAAAGAATATGCAGATGATGGAACGGATATAGATGCCAGGAAGAGCCTTATGAAGCTCACCCATGCAAGGTATGAGACGACAAGGGAATTGGAAGCAAGAATGATGGAATTTTCGACAAAGGCTTTCCCTGAGGAAGTAAGGGATGATGCCGCTATTCAAGTCCAGTTGGAGGATTTGTTCTTAGGAAGGTTAACGCATCAGACATGACGTGAATCAGGAGGACCCAGTTAGGCTGTCAGTGGCTATAGATCTCGAAAAAGACAATAAGAATGTATGGGAAAAAACGAGGAATTGTGGAATGCGGTTTCAAGGCTGAGAAGAGTTAGTCAGCAGGAAGAACAGGGAAAATAAATCACACACGTGGAATAAAAGTGTGAGATGGGAAAAGGACCGGCCGAAAAATTGGGAGGAAGTTCCCAATGGAAGAGAAGGATTATTGGGACAGAGTTTCTATAAACTCACACCTGGTAGATAAGTGTTAGTCTGCTGGGATTGTAATTAATGTCATAAGGCAGGGGATTGTGCGGAAAAGTAGGGACTGCCCCAAAATTTTGACGAGTCAATATGCAGTAGGTGTGGCCAGAACGAACATACGACCAAGTAGTTGAAATCAAGAAAAAGAGATTTCCAGCCACCACCATCACGGATCTGGATGACAGAACCAAGAAAAAAATCCAATGGGCTGTCTCAGCACAAAAAAGAAAGATGGTGGGTCGCCCCTCGAAAAATAAGAGGGGTGCGATGCTGGGCATGTGACCAGGTCGTCCATTTTGTTGCCAGCTGTTCCAGCAGAATGTGCTTGTTCTAAGCTGAAAGATGACAACTGAGGAGAAATTGTCCCTTTAAAAAGAGAGATTGCAAACCACGGAAAGGTTATCCAATGACACCAAGAAACAGAGGTAGACGGTCTGGAATACCGTACTACAAAGATAACGAGGGACTATTATTACCAGCACCCATGTTTGAATAGTCACGCGGACATTACCTCAGGAAAAGTGTAGCTGGGATGTTTACCTTATTCATCCCAGAGGAAAAAACTTACCTGTAAAGCAATGATAAAGGGAAAAGCAATAAGTGCCAGTCATTTTCCCATCTTAAACTTTTATGATGTTGACGTCTGTTTCTCTAAGAGAGTATCGGCACAAAGATTTAAGGCTATAGATTTGGTTGAGAAAACCTGATATCGAAATTAGCCAGGTAGTCGGGAAGACGATAACTATAGTGGGGATGGTGAGGCTCCCAGTGATATAAAGCTGCCATCTTGGATGACGGTGTCAGGTAGATGTAGGCTGATAAGACAAAGAAAATAAGGGAAATGAATTTTTCAAATATTCCCCTGTAGAGAAATATTGCCCTGACGAAAAAGAAGAAATGACTTTGAAACAGTGGTGGAAGCAGCAAAGATGCTAGCTATAATGTTTAAAAGCTATCCTGAGAAAACACCGTAGTACAATAGAAGAATTGAAAGTGTTAAAAACATTAAAAACTTTAAGGTGAAACCATGAGTTGAAATATGAAGCAAAGGAAAAAAAGTGATTTTTTTCTTTCTAATAAATAGAAACACAGAATTGAATGACGGATCCAAAATACAATTTGAGAAATCTAGAATGTGGATTGCTTAGCAACCAAGAGGCATATGGAATTGTTTTAAATCACAAAACCGGTAATGTAATCAATCGGTAGTATCGTTTTGTAAACATGCCAAATGGGCAGTAATGACCATTGTTGGAAAAACCCAGGATCTAGCCGGGCCGACTGTGTTATATATATATATATATATATATATATATATATATATATATATATATATATATATATATACTCAAAGCTGTCAATCTGCCCTGCGAGTATCAGATTTCACAAGCTTTCTTTTCTCATTATATGCCCTAGAAATTTCAACTGTCTTTTTTAATGTTAAATAAGTTTTCTTTTTGTTTTCGATTATCCCTAAAACTTCGTTGTTTCTCACGTAATCGAGACATGATATCCTCAGCATTCTCCTGTAGAACCAGATTTCCGTTGCTACTAGTTTCGTCTTCATCTTTCAGGCGATTTTCCAGCACTCACTGCCATACAAATGGACACATATCCCGTAATATTCTAATATTCTTTTCCTGGTTTCTAATTAAATTTTTCTATTTCCTACTTCTCGGATTAGCTTTTGAACTGTATTTTTGGATTATCCCAATGAGTCTTCGGGATTCAGTGTTACACTCCGATCCCTGATTTCATGGACAAAAGATTTGGTATATAAGACAAGAGAACTTGTCCCTAAATAATCCCACATTTTGCTTTTAAGAAATAAATAATGAACCAGCTCACTTCCGGTAAGTTTATGTACTTATAAAACCGTTATTGTAATTTTGAATTCATCTCTTTGATCCTATGTTCTTTTGTATGTTTTTTTTTTATTACAAAGTCCAGAACGTTTTAAGATTCTATGATCGTTAATTAAACAGCAAGTGTTAGAAGTAAACAATTCCTCCGTTAACATATTCACTATTTCTGATCTGCTTGTTTTAAGGTCCAATTTATTTTATTTGTGTAAGCACAGACAGCATGAAGGAGTTATACCAAACATAGTGAAGAAGATAAGGGCATTAAATATATAACAGTTGTATTGGGAGTAGGTTTACACAACATCGCAAATTGATACGAAACCAAAATATACCTGAATTATGTTCTTAACTGATTTCGCAAGATTTCGACGTTCTTATGAAACTCTTGGATTACGCCAGGGCCGTTTGAACTATCTGTTGGCCGTATACAACCGTTTTCTCGGACTGATGGTTAAGAATGGTTTGTGCGAAGCGTGTAAGTTTTGGTGAGAAGCGGACTATGTCGACTGGATGTTAGATAATCACGAACAAAAAACTATACTAAATAAGAGAAAACCACATCACTTGAGGAATTTCAATAGAAGCAAAGACTGATATGGATATGATGTGATTTGAAGAGAGTATAATGTCATCATCAGGACATTGACGTTCTAAAGGACGTCAAAGAAAACACTAGGAAGAAAGCCTTTATCAATTCTACTAAGAGCGATAACAGGTACTTGACTCGAGAAACCTATTTTTATGAATCATTGTTTTACTGGAACGTTTTTATAAATTTCAACTGACAGTAGCACTGACTTCTTGGTCAATGGATGCTGAATGTTTCCTTATAAGAAAACGGCTGATTATTGTCACCATATATAGCCATAGAAATAGTTATTAAGTTCACAATTAACTTCGGCGAGGTGTTGTAGTTGCTATGATTTCGAATGATGCCAAAGTACTTTATTTATTTCGTCTTCCTTTGAACTTACCTCAGTCGTTCGCTTCCTGGAGCTGATTATTATTTTTTTTCTTTTTCTCTTTCTTTGCTTTCTATTTTAACGACATATATATACTACTAACTCTACCCCGGCTTTCCATCCATTAATGTTGACCTTTTTCTTTTCCAAGGCATTTCCACAGGGTAAATGCTATTATGTTTCACATAAGGAAGGATTTTGCGTTCAAACACATTTATAGGCGCCACCCGCAAGGAGACTGCTATCATGAGTTCCATCTTCAGATTGTCATCGCATTATGCCAAATGAGTCTAATGTTAGGGATCCTTTACAAACATGCATAACTGGAAAACGGCGATTTAAATGAAAGCACAAAGAACGACTATTATTTGTAGGCTGTGGCAGACCTATATTTTGGGGGGGCATGAAGCTTGAACAGATACGTGGGGAGTCTGAAAATTAAACAATACGTGAGGTTCTGAAAATTGAACAGACACGTGGAGCTCTAGTGCTTGGGAAGATATGTGGGGCTCTGAAGATTAAACAGATATGTGGGACTCTGAACATTGAACATATATGCCGGACACTGAAGATTAAACGCATATGTGGGGCTCTGAAGCTTGAACAGACATGTGGGGGGGGGTGCTCTGAAAATTTAACAGATACGTAGGGTTTTGAATACTGAACAGAACTGTGGGGCTCTGATGCTTGAGCAGATATGTGGGACTTTGAAGACTGAACAGATGTGTGAGGCTCTGAAGATTGGGCAGATATGTTAGGCTCTGAATATTATACGCATATGTGGGACTTTGAAGACTGAACCGATGTGTGAGGCTCTGAAGATTGGGCAGATATGTTAGGCTCTGAATATTATACGCATATGTGGGACTTTGAAGACTGAACAGATGTGTGAGGCTCTGAAGATTGGGCAGATATGTTAGGCTTTGAATATTATACGCATATGTGGGGCTCTGAAGATTGAACAGATGTGTGGATTCTGAAGTCTGAAAAGATGTGTGGCGCTCTGAGGATTAAACGCATATGTGGGGCTCTGAAGTTTGAACAGATATGTGGGGCTCTGATGTTTGAACAGATATGAGGGTCATTTCGCTTCCAGCAAAAATAGATGAGAGAAACCCACTGTCAAAATGTAGCCTGACGAGCTAAACATTCTCATACAGCTGGGGATTCAGGCGCCGCAAGCCCCAGGAAAATCTTGCAATTTGACCAATTCTAGGGGAGTGTTCAGGACATGGAATGGATATTAGAGCATATTATAAGGCCCACATCAGCTACTTCACTCCATTGGCTTTTGATTCTGTCACTAAAATGGTTTTGTTTTAATAACACACTTAAGAAAAACTTTGATTTTGTTGAAAAATACATTCATTAAAAAAAGTTTCTTCAGAGACCCCTCTGGGATTCGGCGCCCTAAAGCACAACTTTCATAATAAATCAGCCACTGATTGTAGGAAGAGATAAGTTGTGATTGCTAGCACGATGAACAACCAGATTTCAGATTTATTAAGTAGAGATATCAAGTTTAAGTAAATACTAAAAATACACCGAAATTCGAAGGCGTCTTTGAATAACGAAATATATTTTCCAAATACAAAACAAAGTATTAAAAAAAAGAATATTTCGTTACAAACAAAAAGAATGCTGAACTGAGTTACAATGTAATACCAATCCTCTTATATGATAATGAACACTGGACAATCAGCCAGTTGATTAAGCGGAGACTTGAAGCAACAAAGATGAGAATCTACTGAAAGACACTCAGAATAATGTAGATGAAGCATGTCTGTAAAGAGGAAGCTTTAAAAATGGAAGTGAAAACATCATTTATACTAAGAATTGGAAAGAGACATTTAGGACTATAATGAGGAAAGTGGGCCTGGAGAATTTGATACTCAAAGGGCATGCGGAAGAGAAGATTGACAGACTGAAACAGCAAGTAATCCACCTAACTATTTGGTAATTAATAAACAAGGAGTGGCGAGAATAACAAAATGATTAACCTTGCTTAGAGATAGAAAGGATAGTAAGTAGTGAGGAGGCATGATCCCACATGTCTTGAAGATTCGTGGCACATAGAAGATAAATATCCGTACTTATATTACAGTTGCTCTCACATCGAATTCTGAAAGTTTCATTGTTAACAATTAACGCTTGCTATTATATGACTTGTTCTTCATGACTTCTCAAATTATAGAGCGTCCTGGGTATAATGATGAACTACATCCGGGGTGGGGGCCTTTAGTCTGGAAGTTAAGGGGAGTGTGGAACCGGAACTTGATTGCCGGTGTTCCCTGAGTTTACCCTAATCCACGGGGGTGGCAACTTCTGTTGGTCTCCAAATATGGGCAAGTGTTTAACCCCCTGGCTGGGGTCGGGGCGCTATGAAAGTATAAAAATAGGTTTTGATAAAGCAATTACATTTTGGGATAAAAAAAATTCTTGCCAGCAGTACATTACTAGCAATACATTTTTGTAAAAAATACCAGCAATATATTTAAACAAATTTATTACCAACAATAAAAATATTATTGGCATTCCCCATGTATAATACGCATTTTTTTCTAAAAAGCAATAAGCAAAATCAGGGGCATGTATTATGCACAGCAACAAAATATCTTTAAAAAATTGCCGTAAAATAAAAATAAGAATTAGAATAAAACTAAATTAAAATATTATTCTATGTTTAAAACCATTTTTTTTTTTTAATAAGATTAGGAAACGCTGGCCGTAGTGAAATTGGAGAGGTACAATTCATAGGGTTTGATTACCAAACAAGAGGTGCGTATTATGCATGAGTAGAATCATTTTCCCACACTTTCAGCATAATTTCAGAATTACGGTAAATAATCCATTAAGGTTGATATGCCGTAAAACAAAACAAAACAAACCTCTTTACAAAAGTACATTAATGAAACCTGATTTACAAAGGGATTTGTTACAAAGAATATATATTATTTTCAGACATAACTATCCGAAAAATCTTGTCGATGTTAAATAACCCATTGTGGTTGGTATGCCGTAAAACAAAATAAACTAAAACAAACCGAATTATAGATGATATGGTTTGTAATGTTTTAGCAATTATGGCTAATAATTAACAGTTTTTCGATTTTTTCAACAAAGGTACAGATCTAGGTTGGGCCAGGAGATGTGGTGAAAATAAGAGAAGCAGATTGAGGAAGAAAGAGAGAAAGACACAGAGAGAGAGAGAGAGAGAGAGACATAGAGAGAGAGAGAGAGAGAGAGAAAAAAATTGGCTGACCAACTGATTGAATGAAATTTGAAGAAAACTGTGATTAAAACAACAATTGAATTTTTTCTTTACGTTCAGTTTTGTTCTCGAGTTTTATCTTGGCATGCACAAGGCAAGAATTCCCGCCACTACTCTCCGGTTTTTCGCCTTTGTCTCAACCTCTCCACTCTGATGTCAACAATAGCGCCACCTTCGCGCTTTTCCCTCATCATTAATCTGTCAATCTGCCAGTAATAATAATAATAATAATAGCAACAACATCATCATCAAGAACAACAACAACAGCAACAACAACAACAACAATAATAATAATAATAATAATAACAAAATTCTTCTTTGCCATTCTTCATCTTAGAACCACCCGGAAACCTCCCTCGGATGTGGCCTGGCCTGTCCTTCTTCTCTTTCTTGTCCGAGAACTTTGTGCTCGCAATTTGAAACACTCATTATCTAACCTTCCCCACTTCAAATCGTCGGGTCTTTATCACGTGACCTTTCTTGAAAACTGTCACTGATCACATGGCTCCCTTAGCAACAATCAGTGATCTTGCCACCATTTTCCATTATTGATGGACGATGTTTTTTTTTTCCTCTAAACTCATATACCCACACACAGACACATGGCCCGCCATTTAAATTCACGCAAACTTAAAGGCTTAAAAAAAAACGGCCTTTCAAATAAACAGCTACATTATGAAACGTCTACCACCAAGTGTCTGCATTTACATAGACACACAAGAACTACGTTATGAATCGCACAATAAAAAATACTCTATTGTGTACACTCACGTTCTAGAAGGAAACACATATAGTTGAAAAAATAATGCATGCAAATGCACACACTAATAGTAAAAAGATAAAAAAAAAACTCATTTGAAAGTATTTATATACGTGTATGACAGTGTTACTAAAGAAAACAATACTTATCACCTTGAAACTCGTACAATAAAATACGAGTTTCCACTTTAGAGGAAACTCGTATTTCAGTAGACGCTCCGTTTATATACTAAGCATTATACAGTGTAACCCGGATATAAGAGACCCGGATATACGAGAAACCCGGATATACGAGAAACCCGGATATACGAGAAACCCGGATATAAGTGAGATTTTCTCTGGTCCCAAATTAGAGCCTGTGTTAATGTATATAAAAAAACCAAACCCGGATATAAGAGACTTTTTCTCCGGTCCCGACAACTCTCTTATATCCGGGTTACAGTGTATTTATTTTTGTCTACCGACCTGAAGGTTCGAGAAATCTTTTTAAAGTAAACACGCTGAAAATTCCTGCCGGAGAGTGCAATTTTTTCTTTAATAAGACCTCTCGAATATTCAGGTCGATGAACGAAAATAAATAACTATAATGTTTAAAAAATAAACGGAGCGTCTACTCCAATACGAGTACCCACTAAAAATATTTAAAGTACTAACTTAGATGCATAAACAAACAACAATTATATAGTGAAAAGAGAGATGTATAAAAATATTTGTTAATAAGCAATTAAGAATAAAAATTCTCTTAGAAATGATTATGTTTTTTATGGGGTGTAGATATGCCTGTAGTCTAATGCCGAATAAAAGTAAATGTATTACACAATGAATAATTCTCTTACTTGTACTTAAGCCATGTCTTCTCTCTGCACATCATATATCGAAAAATCTGCAGTGAACATATACTGTCAAATAATAAGGATGCCGAGCTTCGGATTTAATGATCCACACTCGTACATAGGACTAGAATTCAGAAGGATCTCAATTGGATCCATCGCAAAATATGATGAAAAAACGTTAGGTTCTCTCCACTTTCCAGAAGTACCTGATTCCTGCTATTCACTACTATTAAAAGTGAATGATCAGTTCGAAAATGGAATATTGTAGTAGTTAACTTGTCATAACTTTTCAGTCTCGATAGTCCTCAAATGCGTCTCTGCATCCGTGTGGGTGACAAATTATTTTCTACACCACAATCACTTTCTCACTGACGAAACGTTGCAAGCCTTTCTCTGCTCTATCGCTATTTCCATGTAAAATATCCAAACGAACTACACTCCTTAGTTCAATCAGTTCTAGTCTTCATAGCTAAGACCTGCCATACCAAGCATATTTTATAGAACCACCATCATATTCATATTCCATTGGTGAAATATAAGTTCCACCCGAGCAGCTTCGCCCCTCGAAACGCTGCTTTCTCGAACCGACTCCCAAGTGGGTGCTTCCACGATTGCTACAATCTTAACCTGTTCAAATTTAGATAACTGCTTTCTTCCACAAATATCCGCATAAAAAATGCATCTTACTCTGTAATCCTATAACTTGAGTGGCTCACCAGCCCTGTACAAAGTGGACATCACTGTAAATAAATTGTTATACATAAGTACTACATAAAATTTTTGGTATGTTAAGCATCAAAGAACGTTCATCCTTCCTTGAAATACCCCCTTTACGTACATATACAATGATCTCATAAAAATCGTTGCTCAAAAAGGGTAGCGGCGAAAGACATTACTACATTTTTTATATGCATTGTTCAAAATTTTGTGATTTTTCTGGATGCACCTGGTAGATTACAAATTCTTCTAGCATAGTAAATATAGATATGCACACGTAAACATGAGGAGATCATTTCAAATTATATATGTACCTGCATATTTAGAAGTTTATGACAGGAAAGAGAAATCTATAAAATTATTATGAACTCATTTATTATGCTTTATTTTGGATATCTTAATCCTAAAAGATATTAATATAACAAATGGAGTAGAAAGGTTTGCCTACAGTCCAGTTCACATTCCTACCAGATCATTGGAACAGGAGTAGAAGCCTGCCTTTTGTTCCCTGTTTAGGATTCGGTTACTGGTTCCTTTTAAAGTATCTTAATTCTCTTTCACTCCGAGCAGCCACTTACGTCTTAGTAGCACCATCACCTTCCTTGGAGTGGATTGATTAAAATAAAAAAAGAACACACAAGTAATTCATTCAAAATTAATAACATTATAATTAAAGACTCAACCCGACCTCAGAAAGCTGTCCACCATTTAAATCTTTATATATCTTGGCCTACTCCACTTGTTTGAGATTATTTATGTTGGATTACAGAGCCTTGCTTATGGCCAACTCCAAAATGCCAAATACAGTCTAATCTCGCGTATAGGTTCCTTTAGTTGAAAGACAACAAATCCGTTTGTATGAAATCTGCAAATATATTGTTGCAGATCATGCCTCAGTGGCTGGAACACGGTCATTTGGTACGAGCATAGTTGGCCAGCCGTTTTTTGGACTTGAGCCATGGCAAAACATGTTACATCGGGATCTCCTATTAGATATATGTACCAACTTTTCCTGAGGAAAAAAAAATACAAGGTAGACACAAAAAAGACAAAGGTAAAACTTATTTTACAATGGCTTTTCAAAGCCGAAAGTGGTCGGAATGAGAATTTACGAGGGTCGGCTGAAAAGTTCATCGGCTAATTACAATGCAGCAGCTGGCCGACCAGTTGTTGTAATCTGGTGCACTTGCAAGTCGCTGATTCTACCGACTGATGTGTCTACTTACATTTATATCTTGGTCAGCCTATGCACTTTTCAGCCGATCCCCGTATGTTAAAATTCTCCTCGAAATCTGAAAAATAGACCGAACAGTATAGGAATTAGCAATCCAAACAGAATTTTGGTTCTTCTTGAATCAAGATATGGAGCGTTTGCTGACCAAATACAACACACAGAAACAAAAAAAACAGGGGGAAGCTTGATTCATATCATTTCACTTTGCGGGTAAGTCACTATATATATAAAAAATCCAGTGGAAATTGTTTGAACACTGCTCTTTGATTAACAATTCTTAGCTATTATCCATTACACCGCCTGCTGCTGATATTCCCAAACGGTAATTCATCTAGGAACTGGTCAGAAAAAACATTGCTTAAATACTGTACGATCACCGTTACTTTGGGTTTACCCCCAAAATTAATAAAAGATTAGATGTACAAAAATTACCGATATTTATCAACCAAGCATGAAATATGTTTTATATATATATATATATATATATATATATATATATATATATATATATATATATATATATATATAATTAAATAACTTACAAAGGAGATGTGACCTGATGAACCAAGAAAAAATATATTTGCTTTGCTGGGGAAATAAATTATAATCATGAAACCTTAAGGTTGTTTCGTTCTTAATTATTTAATTGATAATTGCCCTAGATTTTCATTGAGCTCTGTGGATTACATCATCAATGGAATTATCCACACGGATTACCAAACGCTTTATTACTTATATATATATATATATATATATATATATATATATATATATATATATATATATATATATATATATATATATTCTGCTGTCCAAAATCTTAATACCAACGAAAATAAAGAAAACAATATACCTTTTGCGTTGCTAATGAATGACAATAAAAAAAAGAAAAATAAAAAGCTTTTTTAAAATTTTTATTCGCAAAATTTGATTACTGGGAAATTAAATTAAATAGAGGCTGGTCAAAATTTTAAGATTATATTTAAACGAATCATAAATTGGTAACCACGTAATATAATTTGCTCGCTTTTGCTCAAGCATAAGCGATTATATCCTGCCATGCATTAGGTAAAACAATGGCAATGACTAAAAAGTTGACAAAAAATATGGCAGAATTGTCGAGCTGCAAAAGCAAGGTCTCTTTCAACGTACCCTCACCGTTGAGACTGGACTTTGTAAAAATTCTGTTGGAAATTTCTTAAAAATTTCGGCATGTATGGAGAGCATCCTTATTGAGTGAAGGCCCTCGCATGTGAGGAAATAACTGGATCTTTCAGCAGGACAACGGTGCAATTCATAATGCCCGTAGGCCAAAAAACATTTCCATGGTTATTAATGTGATTCTTTTGGCGTGTTCGCCCGACCTGGACCCCACTGAACATGTTTGGTGTGGATCACCAGGGAAGTTCATAGAAATCAATTCCATACGTTGCTTTATCTTCGTGAAACCATCTTCACTACTGGGGATAGCATTCC